GCTCTGGCCTCACACTCTCCTCTGCTGCCTCCTCTTCCTCCTCCTCCTCTTCCTCCTCCTCCTCCTCTTCAGAGAGGTCAGGAAAGTTGGGCTCGGGGTGCGCGGGCAGCAGCAGGCCATGTGGGAAGGGTGAGGGCAGCCGCAGCTCGGCCAGGGGCCGGATGACGCCCGCAGCCATGTCAGTGCGCAGGGGCACCCCGGGGCCCGGACTCACCCTGCAGGCAGTGACAGCGGGGTGAGGGTGGCACACACCCCGGCACCGTCCCCGACCCGCCACCCTGAAGCGGCACTTGGCCCTGAGGCAGCGGGGGGACTGTGTCATGCTGTGCTGTGGCCAGGGTGGGGCTGCAGGGCAGCGGGGACACCCCCTGCAAGCCATGGGACATGGGGCAGCGGGGACATCCGCACTGAGCCCTGGGACGTTGGGCAGCAGGGACGTCCCCACCGAGCCATGGGACGTGGGGCAGCTGGGGTGTCTACCCGAATCCGTGGATGTGGGACAATGGGAACATCCCCAAGTCATGGTGTGTAGGGCAGCAGGGATGTCCCCGCCAAGTCATGGGCAGTAAGTAGGGCTATGGGGACCTCCCGGTGAGCCATGGGGCAGCGGGGACACCCCCCAGAGCTGTGGGGCAGCAGAATGTTCCCCTTCACCCCGGGGCTGTGTGTAGGGTGAATGGGGCTCAGCGCCCACCCTGCCACCCTGGGCTGAGCACCTGGGATGCTGAGCCCCATGCCCTGCCCACACAATGGCCCCACAGGTTTCCCTGCGACGGGGCAAACCTGGCCACCTCCCCGCACCGCCACAGCTGGGCTGGATGAGGCCCCTCTTAGTGCTACCTGTGCCCCAGGGTCCCCAGCCCTGCCTGCTGCAGGGTGCCCCTGGCCACGTGCCGGGGGCTGCCATTGCCCCAGCCCCAGCCCTGAGAGGGTCTTGGGGCATGGAACAAATCCTGGGGGGCAAATCCTGCTCCTGCCACGCCAAGCACAGTGCTGGGCCCAGCACCCAGCCTGAGACAGCACCGTGGCCATCTCTGCGGTCACCATGAGTCCCTCTTTGTGCTGTCCTCACCGAGGGACCCCCAGTCCCACCTCTGTGCTGCCCCTGGGCGGGTGGTGAGGGGCTCAGCCTCCCGAGGCACCGCACAGCTCTGGGTGCAGGGAGAGAGGAGCGGGGCCTCCCCAGCGACAGAGCCAGCCTGCCCCGCTGCCACCCTCAGCCGGAGAAACGCCCGGGCGCGGGAGGGCATCGCCCGGGGCCGCGGCTCAGCACTCACCTTGGCGCTGCCGCCCGGCCATGCATAGGCTCCCGCGCCGCTCCCCCTTCCCGTCCCTCCACCTGGGCCTGAAGTATTTATAGCGGAGCAGCAAGCTGACGGCTGGCAAATATTTGGTAGCTGTATTGTAATAGTAGACTCGGTAAACAGAGCTGGGGTTTGCTTTAGCGCCCAGCAACGGGAGAGCGGCGCGGGGAGGGACGCGGCGACGGAAGGCAGGGCTCACCTTAATGGTTCACTAGCCAGGGGATTTTCAAGTGTTGTTCCTGTAAATTCACCTATTAAATCGGCAGCCCCAGCTGCCAAACTGCCCGCACACTTGTGCCGAGGGCTCTTATCTCCCCACTGATTGGAGGCGAAATCAAGCTTTGTCAAATAGGCGTAAAATTAAATTTCATGCTATTTTGACTCCTGGAGTAGGGATCTTCTGAAGAACATACTGCGTATCGAGCGATGCCTCTGCAAACAGGCGCTGCCGCCGTGGCTGCAGCGGGCAAAGCCTCTCATGGGGTCCCTCCAGGTGTTGTGCAGCCCCTGTGTGGGTCCAGACCCCCATCCCCAGCCTCATGCCCCCCTGGGGTGGGCATGAGGCCCTCTGACCAGCGCCAGGATAGGGTTTGGAACCTTTCGAGGTGGCAGGACACGGCCCTGATGGCACAGTTGGCAGGAGAGACTCTTCAGGGTGCTGTGCTCCCCAGGGGGCGGTGGGCTGTGTGCCCAGGGATGGTGGCTCTTGCCAAGCAGCGCCTGTGGGTGCAGAGATGGGGACATGCTGTGTGAAGAGCGGCTGGGCCAGCCCCACGGCAGGGACAGCACCTGGGATGGCAGCCTCATCACCGTGGATGGGCTCTGGGGTGCCCCGTGTCTCCGCTACGGCCTGTGGTTGTGCTGGCCCACGCAGCGCACGAGGGACTGAGGTTGTTGATGATGGTGGGCAGCTTCAGTCCCAAGGTGGCTGCGGCCATGGGACATGCCAGCGGCGCCATGTGGGGCAGCACAGAGCACGGCCAGGGGACACAGATGGCTGGGGGATGCAGGGTGGCCGGGGACAGGCTGGAGGGCACAGGATGGCGGGGGCCTGACACAGCCCCCAGCCCCTGTCACCGCCTGTGCTGGGGACGCCCAGGGACACCGGCCGTCGGACAACCAGAGCCCTGCTCCAGAGCTGCCCCGTCCCCCTGCTCTCGGGGCGACCGCAGCTCCCGGTCTGCTCCCTCGGAGCCCTCCTGCCCTGAGCACCCTGCACCCTGTGCTGAGCCGTCCCCCAGCGCCCGGCACAGTGCAGCACTGGTGAGGAGAGCCAGCCCCAGCACAGCTGTCACTTCCCTCCGAGCTGGCAGCCCTGGGACACCCAGTGGGGCCGAGCTGGGCACCGGCCCCGGCTCCGCAGCGTTCCCTTTCCCTCTCCAAACACACCGGCAACGCCGCGGGGGGAGCAGCAGCCATCCTGCCCCGGCACCGCTGGGCAAACATGGCGGGTGGGAGCTGATAAGCCATGGGCACCCTTCAGCCTGCTCCCTGACACCACCCGCCTGGCACGGCTCGGCTCGGCCCAGCGCAGCCTGGCACGG